GGGCTCCACACTAAGCATGGAGTCTGCTTGAGATTCTCTCTCTCCTCTCCCTCTGCCCCTCCCCTTGCTCTCATTCTGTTTCTCTCTCAAAGTAAATAAATAAAATCTTTTTTAAAATTGATGAATGGATGGGATGCCTAGGTGGCTCAGTGGGTTAAAGTCTCTGCCTTCAGCTCAGGTCATGATCTCAGGGTCCTGGGATCAAGCTCCACATCGGGCTCTCTGCTCAGTGGGGAGCCTGCTTCCTCCTCTCTCTCTGCCTGCCTCTCTGCCTAGTTGTGATCTCTGTCAAATAAATAGATAAAATCTTTAAAAAAAATTGATGAATAGATTCATGTATTATGAATCAGAATCCCATCTATTTTAAAGATTCTAATTAACTTTTCATTTAAGGCTTGTAGCAGCCATTGGTAATCTTTGGCTAGATCCTGTATTTTATTAGAGGTTCCTTCTGCTTTTATTAGCTGAAATTCTCCCATAAAAAAGAACTCAAAGAGTGCCTGGCTGGCTCCATCAGTGGAGTGTGCAACTCTTGATTTGGGGGTTGTGAGTTCAAGTCCCACACTGGGTGTAAAGATTACGTAAAAAAACAAACAATCAAAAAAACCTTAAAAGAAAAAAGACCTTTGTCAGTAAGTGTTTGATTACTCTGAAATATAGTTTTTATAGGGCAGGAAAGAAAAATACTTGACTCCTTTCCTTCAAAAACTTTTTTTTTTTTCCAAGTAGTCTCCATTCCCAGCATGGAGCCCAACATGAGGCTTGAACTCACAACCCTGAGATCAAAACCTGAGCTGAGACCAAGAGTCAGACACTTAACTGACTGAGCCACCCAGGCACCCCCCTTCAGAACCTTTGAGAATGATTGGTGTCCTAGCATTCTCCAGTTTGCCAAGTTAAATCATTATAAATTTACATAATGAGCATCAAAATAAATATTATTCAGCACATATAAATGATATATATGGAAAACATTTTAAAATATGCGTATGTATTTATAAAATATATAAATTATGTTTTAGATATATTTTATATGTGTTATTTATTAAGTCTATATTATTAACAATATAGTATTTATTTTAATGTTCAAATTGTCATATCATTAGCCAGAGGATTCTTTAGCTAATTTTATGAAATTTCCTGCTCCAGACATAAAATAGCTATTTCTCTAGAAACTCCTGCTTCCTTTAGTGGGAAATGATTTGGAGACCACAATCTGGACACAATAGTTACTCATTAGTACTAGGTTGTCATTGCTTATAGAGCTTGTAAGTGGACAAAGCTAGGAAAATACACTTTTTAGAAAGAAAAAAATGTAGTTATATTGATACATCCAATTCAAATTAAAGAGTGTAGGGGTTGTTACTTACCTTTTTTGTTTTGTTTTTATATCATTTATGCTGAAAATCCTGGCTCCTTACTGCATTAAAATATTTATTTGCTTAGTACATATATATTTCTCAACCTTGGCATTGCTGACATTTTGGTTCAGATAATTCTTTGCTGTAGGGCACTATCCTGTGCATTATAGGATCTTTATATAAGGTGTAGAATGTTTAGCAGCCTCTGTGGCTTCTACTTTATTTGGTGCTAGGAGCACCAATCCCCTTTCTCCCCACTTCATTGAGTTGTAACAGCCAAAAATGTCTCCAGATCTTTCAGACATTGCCAAATATCCCTTGTGGGCCCAAACTGGTATTTCTCTCTCTCTCTCTCTCTCTCTATATATATATATATTTTTTTTTTAGTTAGCTAGTTAGTTCCAAATTAGCAGTAATACCAATTTTACTAATAATGAGAAAGACTACTGGAGTACCTGAGTGGCACAGTCAGTTAAGAAGCCCACTCTTGGTTTCAGCTCAGGTGGTGATCTCAGGGTTGTGAGATGGAGCCCTGTGTGGGCTCTGTTCTCAGTGTAGAGTCTGCTTGAGATTCTCTCTTCCTCTCCCTTTTCTCCTCCCCTGTGCACATGAGCACTCCTCTCTCTCTCTAAAATAAATATATAAGTGAGGGGGGGGCGGGGGGGGAGGCTGCTGGATGTAGTTTAAGGTTTCTTTTGTTGTATTTTTTTCTCCTTTAGGATATAGTCAAATTACTGTGTTTGAAGTCACTTGAATGATTATGGTCCTAACTTCATATGTAGATTTACCCATTTCTATTTGTTTTCAATTTTTAAGAGTTATTTTGGTTTTTTCCTCCTCTTTTGATTTAACTTTTTTGTTATGTAAAACACTTAAATGATTCCAGTGTCAAAACTATAAAACAAGTCAGAGATGTCATGCTTCCACTCAGGATATATAAGTGGAAAAAATCAATGTGTAGAGCAGCATTTAGGATATGCTACCTTTTTTATAATGAGTGGGAGAGGCATATGTGTATGGATATATATATATGCATATATATACACACATATACATATATATTTAATATATGTATTTTAAAAGAATATGAGACTAACCCCAAAATTAATAAAAATGCTTACCTGTCAGGCAGTAGAAGAGGAATCATTGTTTCATGGATAGGATGGAAGCTGTTACTCTCTGAATATGCTGCTGATTGGTAATTCCTAATTATCATCAACTTGATATTAATGAATGATGAGGTTTAGTACTCTTACTCCACCACCACCACTTCCCCTTTCCTTTTTCTCTGGATATAGATGTATCACAATTTTTGGCCAAATTGGCTTTCACGGTTTACTTTGTTCTTTTGATTGATATACTGTTATACTGAGCCAAGAAATGACTATTAATTACATATCCTTATATAGATTTTTGTCATTCCTGGAGTTACTACTTGCCTAATTTTTCTGTTTGCTTTGTTTTCTATATGTATTTAATTTTAATGAGACTCAAGTCTTTGTTTAAATAGGGAATTCATCAGTGTTACTAGTTTTCCTCATTTTGATGAATGAAAGGATAAAAAAGAAATTCTAAAAATCTAACAGATTTTTGATGCTTTTTTAGTAGAACCTAGGAGTTTTTTTGTGGAGCTGCAAATGCCAGTTCTAGAATTCCAGTTTTGTGAGTCTTTTGTTTTTAATCTTCTCATCTCCTATCTGGAGGTAAATGCCAGCATTCATGAGGGGCAAGCAACAGAAAGCATACCACTCAATCTGACAAGTTTACATAATTCCTAGTGCTTTTTTTTTTTTAAGATTTTATTTATTTATTTGGCAGAGAGAGAGATCACAAGTAGGCAGAGCAGCAGGCAGAGAGAGGGGGAAGCAGGCTCCCCGCTGAGCAGGGATCTTAATGTGGGGCTCCATCCCAGGACCCTGAGATCATGACCTAGGCCGAAGGCAGAGGCTTAACCCACTAAGCCACCCAGGTGCCCCTGTAATTCCTAGTTTTTTAGTATGAGCCTCCCTTTACATCTGCTTCACTTGTTCCTAAATTTAGAGCCTGTATAGTTCATTTTCTCTAAAGAGGTAAGCCTTCCTTTTCCTGCTCAGATGGTGGATACATGGACACTTCCTGTGTGGGTTGTATGTGGAGGGTGGGGAGGTAATGGTGAAGATGCAGTTACAAAGAGCTTATTAGCAGCTAATTTAAGAAGGAAGGGATTTGCATAAAGGTATTAAATGTCCTAGAGAACCTTTGAGAGGACTGATTAAGCTTTTAGGAATGAGTTACAGCATTATATCAGAGAGTAAGCTGCTAAGTGAGTTCCTTTTCCCCCATGATCAAGAAATTGCTTCTGATGGGGCACTTGGCTGGCTCAGTTGATGGAGCATGCAACTTTGGATCTCCAGGTTCAAGCTCCACATTGGGAGTAGAGCTTACTTTAAAAAAAAAAAAAAAAAAAAAAAAAAGAGGGGGCCTCTGGGTGGCTCAGTCAGTTATGCATCTGCCTTAGGCTCATGTCATGATCCCAGGGTCCTGGAATCAAGCCTCACATCAGGCTCCCTGCTCAGTGGGGAGTCTGCTTCTCTCTCTACCTGCCCTCCCCCCGCAACCTGCTCATGTTCTCTTTCTCTCAAATAAATAAATAAAATCTTTAAAAAGAAAAAAAATGGTTTCTGATTGAACCAGGAAAATGCTTCTATAACCATGAGCTGTAGAACCCTACCACTTCTGCTATAATATTTAGGTAAAATGCCTGTTTTATTTCTACTTTTAATTCATTTCTTAATTTAAAAATTGTATGATTAATCTAAATCAGATCCAGAACCCTATATGCAAGTATGTCTAGGAAATACAGTTATAACTCACCCTTTGCAGGTTGGAAAAACATAGAATGAGGTTGGAAAGATGTTACTTAGGCAAATATGAAATATTTGCCTAGAAAGTATAAGTGTTCCCTATTCAGACCTTAAATTAATCCTCTTCAGACATCTTCCCTGTACCTTTTGAGTACCTGAATCCTCTAATTTGTTAGCTTTTCTTTTATTTTGTGGCTAAATCACTTTGTTGCTTGAGATTTTCATTTTTATGTACTTTAACTTCTTAGCTCTTCCATTAGTTAATAGTTCCCTTTATCCCTTTCATCTCTGTTCTCTTGTTGAAATCTCTTGTTCACCCTTCTTTACACTCCTATTTCCTTTGTTCTTGCGGGTTTGACCTTTTATTTTTTTACTGTCATTTTAATGGAATTTAAGGGAAGAGGAGAAATAAGCATATACATTCAATCTACTGTGTTTAACCACAGTGTTAATTTTATCCTCTGATCATTTTGACTCCCTATCCATTTATATGGTCACCCTTTCATCTTAATTATTCTGTTCATGTTACTGATTTCTGCATTGTATAAGCATACTTTTAAAAGCAGTCAAAGCTATTTAGGCCTATCAATGTCAGTTTTCTCTCCAAAATATTTTCTATAGCAGTTAACCTCTTAAAACTTAGAAACTAAGGTAATTTGCACTTTGGATTTCTCTCATATTGGGAAACTAGAATCAGCATAAAAGATCAACTCCATAAGAGCAAATTTCTGAAATGTTATTAATAGTGTAGTAGCAGAAAAATTCAAAAGTAATAATTTTTGGTCCTCCATTTTAGAAGTTTGGGAAGTTGATGAACAGAGCAAGAAGCAACAGGAAACACTTGTGAGGAAAGTCACATCCATCTCCAAGAAAACTCTGATTAAGGAAAATGTCATTGAATGTAAAAGAGTTACAAAAATATTTCCTTTGAGCTCAGATATTCTTACTTCAAGACAAAACTTCTTTGATTGTGACTCATTTGATAAGGGTTTGGAACATAATTTAGATTTACTTAGTTATGAGAAGAATTGTGTAAGAGAGAAAAACTATGACTATAATAAGTATGGGAAACCTTTTTACCACTGCTCATCCCATGCTCTAACCCCCTTTAAGTGTAATCAGTGTGGACAAGACTTCAGTCATAAATTTGACCTCATCAGACATGAAAGAATTCATGCTGGAGAGAAACCCTATGAATGTAAGGAATGTGGAAAAGCCTTCAGCAGGAAGGAAAATCTCATTACACATCAAAAAATTCATACTGGGGAAAAACCGTATAAGTGTAATGAATGTGGAAAAGCTTTCATTCAGATGTCAAACCTTATTAGACACCAGAGAATTCATACGGGGGAGAAACCTTATGCATGTAAGGACTGTTGGAAAGCCTTCAGTCAAAAATCAAATCTTATTGAACATGAGAGAATTCATACTGGAGAAAAACCCTATGAATGTAAAGAATGTGGAAAATCCTTCAGCCAGAAGCAAAACCTTATTGAGCATGAGAAAATTCATACTGGGGAGAAACCTTATGCATGTAATGAATGTGGTAGAGCCTTTTCTCGAATGTCATCTGTTACTCTACACATGAGAAGTCACACAGGGGAGAAACCTTATAAATGTAATAAATGTGGAAAAGCCTTCTCTCAATGCTCAGTATTTATTATACATATGAGAAGTCATACAGGTGAGAAACCCTATGTGTGTAGTGAATGTGGGAAAGCGTTCTCTCAAAGTTCATCCCTTACTGTACATATGAGAAATCATACAGCTGAGAAACCCTATGAATGTAACGAGTGTGGAAAAGCCTTCAGCAGGAAAGAAAATCTCATTACACATCAGAAAATTCATACTGGAGAGAAACCATATGAATGTAATGAATGTGGGAAAGCTTTTATTCAGATGTCAAACCTCATTAGACACCAGAGAATTCATACTGGTGAGAAACCTTATGCATGTACAGTATGTGGGAAAGCCTTTAGTCAGAAATCAAATCTCACCGAACATGAGAAAATTCATACTGGAGAAAAACCCTATAATTGTAATCAATGTGGAAAAGCTTTCAGTCAGAGACAAAATCTCCTTGAGCATGAAAAAATTCATACTGGAGAGAAACCGTTTAAATGTAATGAATGTGGTAAAGCCTTTTCTCGAATCTCATCTCTTACTCTTCATGTGAGAAGTCATACAGGGGAGAAACCGTATGAATGTAATAAATGTGGAAAAGCCTTCTCTCAGTGCTCATTACTTATTATACATATGAGAAGTCATACCGGTGAGAAACCTTTTGAATGTAATGAATGTGGGAAAGCATTCTCTCAAAGAGCATCCCTTTCTATACATAAGAGAGGGCATACAGGTGAGAAACGCCGAGTGTATTAAATGAGGGAAAGGTCTTTTCTTAAATTCCACCCATGCTTTGCTTTATGAAACATACTGGCATAAACTCAAAAAAATGAACAAGATCTTTATGGAAAAATTGTAAAGCTTCATTGAAGGGCATAAGACTTGAATAAATCGAGAGAAATACCGTATATACAGATGGAAAAACCCAATATCATAAAAATATCAGTTCTCCCAGAATTAATTTATAGACCTTATATAGTTCCAAACATCTAACACGAATTTTCTAGGATCTTTGCAAAGTAATTCTAAAATTCATGTGAAATGGAAGTCCCTGGATTGCCGAGACAATTTTGAAAAGGAGGAGACAGGACACATCTTCTACTATATACTACACAAAAGTTGTGGTTGTTAAATAGTGTCTTATATTAGAGCATAAATAGATAAATAAACAGATTTTACAGAATAGAATGCCTAGAAATAAATCATTGAATATACATGAATTTGGTGTAGTAGATATGATATCATGAATCAGTAGAGAAATGAAACCGCCAATAAAATTTGTTGAAGTATTTGGTTCTCCATATTAGGGAGAAAATAACTACATGCAACCTTACAATATATAAAGAAACAGAATTCCAAAGGATTTAAACACTGGAATCTGAAAAGCCAAAATGAAGTTCTTGGAAGGAAATACAGGATGTTGTCTATGACTTTGAGGCAGGGAAACATTTTTTAAAAGATGAAAGGACTCTGCAGTTCCATTTCTGTATGTTCATTCTAAAGAAAAAACACCCATAAGAAATATATATATAAACTGAAAACAAGCTAAATACTGATGGGGTAATGGATAAATAAAGTGTGATACAGTCAAGTAATGGAATAATATACAACTGTTAAAAGTAATAGACTAGATCTGTATTTTGTAACATGGATAGTTATGTAAAACAGTGTAGAGTGAAAAAAAAAAAAAGACCCCCAAATGAAACATTGTATAATGACATTCATGTAAACTGGAGTTAAATCATGAACAGTTTTTAGTATTGAAATATGTTTCTAGTATTGAAATATGTATGTATTTAAAATAGACTAGAAGGGTACATACCAAATTATTGTTAGTATTGTCTCTGGCAAGAGATTAGGTTTGAAAGTGTTGATCAAAAGGGGCTTTAGCTTTATTTGTAATTTTTATGCCTTAAAAAAGAAGATTGATAGCATATAAAATCTTAATGATAAGCAGTGGCAATATGGATGTCTTGTCTTAATGGAGTTTTTTTTATAGTTATTTCTTAGAATTTATGGGCTAGGGGAAGCCTGTGCCCATAGAAAAAAATATTATGATGGATCCCTATGCCCTATCAGATGCTGAACTATTTTATCAAAAATATTTCCAGAAAAGTAGTAATTGGAAGTAATAGTCCTATTTACTACATATAATATGAAATTATCATACTTTATCAATCTTTTGATGCTTTTATTCACATTTTAACATTTCTAAAATTGTGATCCATCTTTCAACCAATTATGTCTTAGATTTAAGTAAATAGGTACTTACTAAGAATTTGAAAATCAGATGGCAGTGTGATACATCAAGTGTGATTTTATTTACCATTTTAGGGCATCATTGTCTACTAATGATCCCTATTCTCTCAGTATGTCTCACGTTACTTGGCAATAGATTTATTGTATTTGTAGTGATTTAATTAGTAATATATTTAAAGTCATTATGGAGACAATAATATTGTCCTGAGAAATTGACTATGTGACATCAGTTGTCTTGCCCTGTAAGTTTCCATACAACCAGGATAAACATTAATACCGTTGTTAATCATTGCAACATTTTGAAATGAGAAAACCTTTTATTTTCTTGAGATGGCCCTAAGCAGTTTTGTAACATAGCTTCACTTTAAACCTACAGATAATTTTATTCCTTTCTCAACCCTTGATTTACATGACCTATCTCATTTTGGATGGTTGGTCTCGGACCCTGAGCAGTGATAACAGAATTCCTCTAAAAAGATCTCATTCTCTATAACAATATATGAACCAACCCTTACTTAAGGTAATGTTTTATTACAACATCTCTACAATATTACTTGATATACAGAAAACCATTAGTGCCTTTATAAAAAAGAGATTAGAATTGAGGCTGTTGATCAAAAGGGAACCTTAGCAATGAATGTTTAAATGTTAAGTAAATTTGTTTGAAGGTGATTTTGCAAAACAAAACCTCAAACTACAGTTGTGATATATAAGCATGACTGTTTCAATTTTTACTTTTATTAGCTTTTTTTAAAAGCTTGACAGTGATTTATTACAGTTACAAATTGCAGGGAGTGATTCTCATGTAAATAACAGTTTTTCAAAACTTAAGTATCTAAATGAGTTTTGTCATTTCATAGTCTCTTCTTTAACAGGTTTTATGCTAAGTCCAATTTTGCCAGCACAACTAATTTTTGTGGACTTTTTTAAAAAAATAATTTTCAAACTTTGTTATCTGCATAACAAGACCTGTGTTTGATGAGGACATGCAGAAATTGGAAATCTTGTGCATTTTTGGTAGGAATGTAAAATTGTATGGCTTCTGAGGAAAACAGTTTGGCAGTTTCTCAAAAAGTTAAACTTATAAATTACCATATGATTCTGCATTTCGGTACCTAAGTAGAAATCCAGAAAAATTGAAAGCAATTTCAGTTGCTCTCTCTCAAATTGATCCTTGTACACCAATGTTCATAGCAACATATTTGGTATAGCCAAAAAATGGAAACAATCCATCTGTCCCACAGTGGATGAATGGATAAACAAAATGTGAGATAGAAATATAATGGTATATTATTCAGCCATACAAAAGAAAGAAATTCTGACCCATACTACAATGTAAATTTACACCTTGGAATCATTATGCTAAGTGAATTAAGCCGGACTTTTATGTTCTTTTATGAGCAAAAATTGTATGATTCCACTTATATGAGGTAACTGAAATAGGCAAATTCATAAAGTAGAATAAACAGATTACTGAGGTGAGGAAGAAGAAATGGAGAGTTATTATTTAATGGGGACATTGGTTCTGTTGCATATGAGAAAATAGTGATGATGATTATATAACATTATGAATGTATTTAATGCCACTTAATTGTACACATAAAAATTGTTAAAATGTTGTCTTATTTTATTTATATTTTAACACACATGCACATACACAAGCTTAAAAATACCCTATTTTGTAATGCCAACATCTGAGTTAAGTCATTCTCTATTGATAACTTTTTCTCTTGATTCTTTCTCACCTTTCCTATATTTTTGCTTATGTAGTAGTTTTGATTGTATACTGAACATTGTAAATTATGTGTAGTAGAGATTCCCAATTTTTTTCTAAGATTTTATTTATTCATTTGAGAGAGACAGAGATTAGCACACAAGCAGGGGGAGAAGCAGAGGGAGAGGGAGAAGCAGGCTCCCTGCTGAACCAGCCAAGAGCCTGATGTGGGGCTTGTTCCCAGGACCTGGAGATCACGACCTGAGCTGAAGGCAGATGGCTAACCATCTGAGCCGCCCAGGCACCCGAGATTCTCAATTTTTTTGTTATAATTTTCTGGAGAATGTTGACTTTTGTCCTAAAAACAGTTATCTTGGCTCGATTTAAAATCCTGTCTCTCTCCCCTCAGGAAGGCAGTAGCTGAAATATCTGCTATTCTTTCAGTCTTCTGTTGATTCCTATAGACTATGGAGTTTACATAAATTTGTGAGGTTCAGGCATCTGTCAAAGATTTGGGCCAAATTTTTATGTTGATATTGAATCTCCTCTCTGTAGCTCCCTCCTTTCTGGGATTTAACTATTTTGAACTACTTTAGCAGCCTCGAACTTCGTCCTCCCAACTTCTCAGGCCATTTAGACTGTGGCTTTCTACTTGAATTCAGCTACCCTATGCCACAGAGGCTTGGAAGTACCACTATGTGATAATCTGTATAAATATTAATGTCTCATAGTATACTTTTTTCCAAAGGTCAACTCCCCTTCATTTTTTTGCCTGCTTTTAGTTGTTCCCCAATGCCTTCACATTGTACTTATGTGTGTGTGTGTGTGTGTGTGTGTGTGTGTGTAAAATCTGTGTAGTCTAGAGTTTATTATCTTTTATGGTAGTCTGAAATAAGGTAGTTTGCCACTAGCAAAAGTAGAACTAGAAGATGACATTTGAGCAAAGGAAGTGAGGGAATGAGTGATGGAGAATAAAGAACACTTAAATATAGAGAACAAACTTCAAAGACCCTGCAAGGGTCCAGGCACCTGGGTGACTCAGTCAGTTAAGTGTATGCCTTCAACTCAGGTCATGATCCAGAGTCCTGGGATCAAGCCCCATATTGGTCCCCCTGCTCAGTAGGGAATCTGCTTCTCCCTCTCGCTCGCTCGCTCTCTCTCTCTTTCAAGTAAATAAATACAATCTTAAAAACAACAACAACAAAGACCTTGCAATGAGGACATGCTTGACATATTCAAAGAATCGTAAGGAGTAGGACATGTGGTCAAAGTAAAAGATGATAGTAGTAAGTGATGAAGTTTAGAAAGAGGTTGGGGATCAGATTAAGTAGTACCTTGAAGAGGAGTCTAGGAGAGAAAATAGGTTTTGTAAAAACTGGAAAACCATTGGAAGGCTTTGAGCAAAGGATTGACACAATCTGACTTATGTTTTAAAGGAATTGCCTTATAGGACCTAATGATAATAGAATGTAGAGGAGGAAGTATGGAACCAGAGGTAGAAATCAAGAGGCTTGAGGTAATAGTCAATTAAATCTGGGTGATAGTGGTTGATGTATTGAGAAGTAGACATTTCTTGAGATATTTTCAAGGTAGAGCTTTAAAGACTTGGCCATTAGGTTTGGTGTGGTTCATCAGAGGAAGAGAAGAATCAAAGCCATTGCCAAGATTTTTGGCCTGATCAACTTGAAGGATGCAGTGTCCATCTGTTGAGATGGAAGAGCTGCAGGGTAAGCTGTTTGTAGAGTCTAGATGGATAGGAAGACATGCCTAGATTTCCAAG